TGTTCTCTTTTAAATGTGTTTTAAGAAGACTCTTCTTTCACGCATATATTCAAGTATTCTTACATCTAATGTAAATAAGGGCAGTGAAAACAAGGCATTGTGTTTGTAATTGAAATGGCATTGGCCAAAGGGATTGTAGTGTTTCAGGCAAATACAAAATGGATACCGGGAATTAAAAATAGATTTTTCTAGAACTGTTGTGTAGGAAACAGTAAAATGTATGCAAAGAAAACTCTAAAATGTACCTTGATTTGAATATTCACAGAATCCTAAAATATGTTGAGATGGAAGGGACTCATCAGGATCATCAAGTCCAACTTCTGCCCCTGTGCAGGACACCCCAAGAGTCACACCATGCACCTGAGAGTGTTGTCTTGAGCTCTGTCAGGTTTGGTGTTGTGACCACTTCCACGGGGAACCTGTTCCAGTGTCCAAGCACCCTCTCAGTGAAAAAGTTTCCTGATATCCAACCAAAACCTCCCCTGACTCAGCCTCATGCCATTTCCTTGAATCCTGTCACTGGTCTCAAGAGTGAAGAGACCAGTGCCTGCCCCTCCTCTTCCCCTCACAAGGAAGTCGTACCTGCGATGAGGTCTCCCCTCAGTCTCCTCTTCTCCAGGCTGAACAGACTGAGTGCCCTCAGCTGCTCCTCATTGGGTTGCCCTCCTTTGGACTCTCTCTAATGGCTTAATATCTTTCTTTCATTGTGGTGCCCAAAACTGCCACAATATTCAAGGTGAGGCCACTCCAGAGCAGAGCAGAGCGGGACAATCCTCTCCCTCGACTGGCTGGCGATGCTTTGCCTGATGTCCCCCCGGACAGGGTTGGCCCTCCTGGCTGCCAGGGCACTGCTGACTCAGATTCAACTTGCCACTGACATTCAATGTGAGCTTACAGCCATAGGCCTTCAGGAGCTGATTCCAGAGTGATGAAGTGATGTTACATGTTTTCTGTACCCTGAGAAGTCGGAAGGCATTCGATCTGAATCCTAAATCACAGCTGACAGTTCTTTTGCTTTTTTGTTGTATAAAGAAAAGCTTCAAGAGCTCGGCAATAACCTTTATGGCACCAGAGGGAGGGATTAAGGACAGCCAGTGTGCAAATGAAGGTTCACAGGAATGACAATTGCAAAATGTCCATGGAACTCCACACGAATGAAGTAATTAGCATTAGCAGATCCCAGATCCCCAGATCTAAAAGCTTGGAACTTTTTAGCTGATATTCTGTTATTTAGAAGTTTTTTCAGTTATGTTCTGATTTTTATTTAGGATGCTATAGGAGGACCGCAGTTCTACAGAGGATTTGTAAATACAGGATTATTGGTGGTCACATTTGCTGTTTGTTTTCATTGCAGAAATTTGGCAGTCATGGCTGAAACAAATTGCTGACTACAGTTTGGAAATAGATAGCAAAAGCTAGGGAGAACAGCCTATTGTCTAACAAGGTTGATGCAGGGTGGAGATATGCTCGAGTTATCTGTTAGGTGCAAAAGTACCCTGGAAATTGATGTATATTCACAACTGGTTTCCATTAAGTTTTTACATACTGTGACTTTTTTATCTAGTGACAGACTTCTAAGATATTAGGCCTGTATTTTCTGTTTGCAAAAATGTTAACTTCAGTGAAGTTAGACTAGGGGTGAGTATACCCATTTCCTGTAGACATTTGTAAGATGTTCTTGAATGTAAAGGCTGAGAAACGTGCTGTTCTTCAGCTGCTTGAGTCGCCTTTTTTTTTCCTGATCATTTTAAAGTTGTCTAGATCTATTCATAACGTATGCTAAGTTTTGCTTGGCTTCAAAACAACAGTTGAAGGGGGTTGGGGTGGAGTTACAGCCAAGTCCGTGCTCCAGAGATGATCCAAGTGCTTTACTCTCATGGATTAAAAGCTTGTAAAACTTGCATATTACATGTCATGTGAAAGTTGACAGGGTCAGGCAGAACAATGTTGCTCCATAAATGGATGCTCCATAACTGGATGCTAGCTATGTATCATAGGTCAGCTAATTACCTTTATAAGGTGCCCAGCATGTAATTGTTTACTTAATGTTAGCAAATGCCTTAAATTCCATGTTAGTTACTAGCACTTCAAAGGATAATACAGGTGGCTCATTAACAAGCACAGTTGCATTTGCAGTGAAGATCTGGCCCTTCGGTAGAAAATGACATTTTATATGCTACTAGCCCATATCAGTATCACAGATGGGGTGAAGAGCATGGGCCACTGGAAACGCTGTGTGAGTTTTGTAATCTCCAATACAGAGATACACGATAAAATAGAGACTTTATATTGCTTAATGAATAGGAGAAACTTTGCTTAGATTTGAAAGTATTTGATGTGACCAGGCTCACCTGTATTGACGCACTTGGAAAAATGCTGAATCTAGTCAGCTTTTCTCATGCCACACTTCTAATGATTATTTTTTTATTTAAAGTGGAATGTGGAGCTTTTGTGTTAGCGAACTCCAGATGATCCTGCATCGTTTGGAGTCATTAGTGCTTTCTCTTGCACGTAGCCCGAGCCAGCGGTGCATTCCATGTGGATGGAATCTGCAGTCTCCAGCTCCTTAATCCGCTGCAGTCGGCAGCCCGCCCTGTCACTGCGGGATGGAGAGAGCGGCTGCGGCAAGAAATGGATTCCTTACTGTGGCCTCGCCCGCGCCCGGGGCACAGGGCAGGCTCCTGTTTCTGTCTCTCGATGTTCATGCCCAGTTTGATTTAAATATTGCAAGTTTAAAAGATAACAGTTGTGGCAGTTGTACCCCGAGCTCAGCATCTGCCTTGTCCGAGGCAGGGAATGTTATCACCAGCGCTGGAATAACGCTGCTGTTCGCTAAGGATATGTGTGTTATCTTCTGCCATAAATAAAGATCCGTTAATTTATGTTCTGGGAGGCAACAGCATTTTGTATTTATTTGAAGTAAATTCATGTATCCAGTTTAGAGCCTTGAACAGTATTTTATATTTACGTATGCGCAGTGCATTTTGGATTGCCATCAGTGAATTAGCTCAAAGGGACACTGTGTCACTTTTAAAACTCCTTTTGCTGTTTCTATGAGTTTGGCAGAAAATTGCCAAATTCATCATCATGGCTGGGCTTCGCGAACGAAGATTTGAGGGGGGCTCTACCCACGCTTGCTACAAGCGCGCTGATGGCTAAATTGCCAAATTGGAAAAGGAGAAAAAGCTATTTTCGATTTCTTAGGGAACCTAAACCAGCCCAGCTTCTGCCTTTGTTTTGCTTTGTTGGCATTGTCATGGTCACCAGTTCAGTTGTGTGTATGCACTTCCTGGGGACTGGTGGCTTGTCCTCTAGCTGTTCTTTTTTGTTGGGGTTATTTTTATTTTTTGGTAGCAAAACTAAAGCTGCAAGATCACCTGTAAGAAAAGCTATTGTCTATTTATTTAATCTCCAAATTAAGTCAATCTTTTGGTTATTTCTAATGTATGTTTTAGGAACTGTGTACATTAGAATATGCAGTTTGTAAGCTCAGGAACATTTTCTTTTCATACTGTGTGATCTCTAGTATTGCTATCTTCCTATAGTTTTTGATAAAATAAATGAAATCTAGTTTTTCTCTTGTTGTTGTCATTCTTGAAAAAAAATAATAAATCTTAGCCTGTCAAAATTAGCTATAGCAGGAGAAGTTACTTTAAGACTGCAACCTCTTAATTCCTGTCCTGTTGCCCAAAATTTTCTAGCCTTGTACGGACTTCAGCAGAGTAACCATGAGTAAACATTCACATATCACTAAACATGGCACAAAGACTCAAGGCACACTTGGAGGGGAGAGATGTTGTGCTAAAGGTCTGTTTAATTCTTTGGGACTTTAGACCACATGGATGGGAAACCTCAGGGATTTTCAGATGACTTCCTTGGTTTAGATATTTTGAAGGCACTGCAGTTTAATTAAAACCTGAACTACATTTCCATGGTAGAATCTAAGAATTTTGGCAGAGAGACTTATGATGGCACACATGCATAGAGAATGTATTGTCTTTATTTAAAAAAGAATGCAGATGAAGTGAAATTTTGTAGTACAGGAGCCTCAAGTAATGCAACCACCTGTGTGGGATAACAGGTTACCTTCTGTTGCTGAGTTACCTGCCAGAGCAGGCCAAGGCTGGTGGCTTGGGAACCACAAGATTTCATTTTTAAGTTTTTCTGAAAAACAATTCAGAACAAACCAAAACGTGGAGGAACTGATGACAAGTTGTATGCAATGAGTGGGAGTTAAAGCACAGACAGTGGTGTGTAGTACCTCACTCAGGAGTTAAAAGTCAGACTGCACCACTTGCTCAGTGTGAAGAAACACTTATTAAACAGTTTGATTTAACAACAAATTAAAACCTCCTTGCATTCTCAGTAATTCTCTAATCTGTTCTGCGGTTGTTTTTAAAAAGAACTGCAGTGAATACTAATTAAATAGTGATAATAATGATAATATGCCTTGTTTACATGGTCATTCCTACGTGTTCCTCCCCACAGTTAACTGTGGTATTTTATTAAAACCTGAGATCGCATTACAAGGGCAAGCTCTTGGAGCTCATGATCAACACTAAATTTCATTTAGTGCTTTTGTCTGGTCCATTTTCTGGCTACTTACGGTCCTGGAGAAACAAACCTCAGGAGGTAGAAGGCTTTTGCAGTTCCTCCTAGGAATACTTCCTTTTCCATATTTCATGGAAGGAACAATAAAAAGTTACACAGGCTACAAATTCCTCATTCTGATGTAAGATATTTCTGGAAAAAAATTTCCATGAGTCAGCATAGCTGCAGATAGTAATTGGCACTAAAGAGAAAAAGAATTTGGGTATTAATAAACATTTTGGGTATCACCACGATGTAATCAGTTATACCTGTCCTCAGGAGACTTTTTTCTCACTGAGTATGTTTTCCCCTGCTGCAAGCTTCTTGTATAAATGGTGCAGTTTATCTGGCTGAGGCACTTCAGCATCAGGAGTCAAGGGAATTTCAAAGTCAGAGGAGCTCTGGGAGTCCCTCCTCAGCTCCAGGTCAGGAGTCCTGGAGCTGTCACTCAGCTCCACCAGCGCATCCTGAACACGAGCAGTGCCAGTCTCTGCGGCTTTCTCACAGCCCTTGCTTTTCAAGTCACAGGCACCATCGTAGGCACAGGGTCTGCTCTGCCCTGGTGGCTTCCCCCTGCTGCTCTCCAGCTGACTGTCCCTGGCAGTCTCCTGCAGCACAGGAGCAACTGCTCTGCTCCCACCTTTGCCAAAGTCCAGGGCGCTTCTCTCCTGGGAGGTGATGAGCACTGTGTCCATTTGGCTATCCCAGCCCTGGCTCCCCTGCTCTGATATGTGTGTTGACTGAGAAGAATTCTGGGAGGAGATGTGTGTTGAGTCACTCACTCCATCCGAGTCACTGAAGAGCGACTGGGACCCACCAGCATCTGCCGAAGATGGGATGTTGTCCTCGTTTTCAGAGCTTTCCTCTAGTTTATTACACATAAAGAATTCATCCCAGCGAGGGACATCGGCATTAGAGTCCTGTTGGTCACTAGTTACTCCACTGAAATTTGCTGTGGAAGTGGCATCTGGGTCATGGGAAAGAATTTGAACTGTATTTTTTTCAGATTCTTCTTCATCATTTTCATCATCTTCATCATCATCATTTGATTCCTCACAGTCCACAAAATCTACCTGGAGGGAGGTGTAAGTTGTGGTTGCTTCGTAACTTTCTGTGCTCTCATTAATATTTCCTTCAGCATTTTCAGACTGTCCTGTGCTGGATGGCCTGGTCTCTCCTGTCTGCTGTTTTGGAATCTTAGGCCTTGCAGAAGTTAATTCTGAATCAAAGAGATCATCTTCATCTGTCAGGAAACGAACAGAAAAAGCAAGTCACTAAGAAAAGTTCATATCTCTGCTAAAATCTTGTTGAGAGCCAAGTTTTAATAAAAAGTCATTTAGTATAAATTGAGGAAAAAGTTCTTTAGACCAGCTGAAGACTTTGCAGGACATTACTGACAGTGTTTGCCATGCCTTGTCCAGCTCAGTGCCTCACACAGGGGCAGTTAGAACAAGCTTTCCTAGGGCTGGTCCAGGACTGTGGGAAGGAACTCTATCCAAAAGCTGAAAGGACTGTTGAGCAGTAACTACATTTTAAGACTGCAAGCAAGTGTGTTTTTACACAATTAGTGCTCTTAAAATCCAAAGTTAATTTACATTTTTCCTTTCAAACTCTTGTTTTGAACATAGACTGTGGTGAACACCGAGGCTTTTGGCACCTCTGCTTAGTCTCAGACTTTCACTTAAGGTTCAGTAGCATCATCAGAACCTTTACCTGTATCAGATAATTCTCTCTTGTGGACTCTCTTCAGTGTTCCTAAGGGCTTGTACCTGGGTTCCGTGTTCCTCCTGTATGACCTGCATAATGGCTTTAATCTGAGGGGAATGAGAAAAGCAATTAATGTTTAGAACACAGTAGACACTTTCAGGAGCAGAAGTAAAACTTTTAACTCGATGTAAGTACGCTGCTCCATGCCTTTCACAGGCACTGCAGCAAAAATGTTAAAGCAAAGGCAGCCACACCTAGGGCAAAGCTTTTTATTCATTGGTGAGCTTGAGCAGCTTAAAGGTAGAGATCTGCCATTTCAATATATTTACCTTAAAACATGTACATCATTTGGAAACTACCTTGTAGTTCCTTACTTAGTGAGACAAGATGAGAGGGTTCTAAATCTAACTGCAGTTTTATTCGATAACTGATCAGTGTAAAGTCTCCTTTCTTAATAAAGGAGGAAAAGAAAAAAGGAACAGTAAAAGGAGTCCTGGTTCTGTTCAGCCTGAGTGACACCACTGCTCTCCTGCTCTGTGAGGGTGCTTTCTAAGCTGCCAACACCTGCAATAGCACAAGAGAACTGGCCTCTGATGCTGTGCAGAGGGGAGGAGTTCAAGACCTCAAAGAAACCCTCTTTAAAAAGAAACTTCTGAGAAGTTGCAATGAAATAGAAATGGGTCACAGAACACAGTGAGATGAATGTGTATTCAGCTTCCAGAGTTTACCAGCAGGAAAGCCTCTACACATAGATAGAAGTAGTGTGTGGAATACAAACTCTCACACTTAGCATAAAAGTGTACTTCAGAAAGCTCAAATTTGTGGGACTGAATATAGGGGAAAAAAAGAAAAAAGCATTATCAGACCAGTAAAGCAAAAGGCAGTGCCCCCCTGAGAGGATGGGATTCAGGAGAGAAGTTGTCCTTTCAAGAACAGAGTTTGGACCACCTCCATCCAGCAGCCATTTGTCACTTACATTTCCATTAGCTTGTCCTCTGTCCCACCCAGTGGCAGTACGTTGGGATACACATTCACAGGACAGATATAGCTCAGGAAATCCTTAATCTAAATTCCAGAGAAGAAGAAGCGATTTGATAAGTTACATCAACAGTTAAGAATTTCACTTAAAGGCAGCACTGATGCAAGCATACTCAAAAGTACTACCACTGGTCTCATGTAAAGACTAATGTGACCCATGAGCTAACCAAGTGGATAGCTCTGGAACAAGAAAACAGATGTGAAAGGATTCTGAGAACTCAGCCTCACCTAACACCTCCTTGCAATTATTAACTTCTACACAGACCATCACCATCTCTGAAAGAAAAGGCTGGACACATTTAGAATGTGATCCAGCACTTCCCTGTCCTTACTGCTGTCAATCTTTTCAAACCTGCATTTTGCTTACTGGACTTCAAGTCCCCATTTGTGCAGATCAGGTATTCCCTTCCTCCGAGACTTTTCCTAAAGTCTCCCTTCAGTCCCCTGTAAAAGCCCATTTTGACAAAACACATCAGTTTTTCCAAGTCTTACTCTGTTGTTTTCTGGATGCTCTCCAGACAGTAAATTTCTTGAAGTGTGTTCAGTTTGCAGCACTCCATTCCAACTGAGGCTTTGTCAGTGCTGAGCACTGGAAACACATGCAGGTTGCAGATTACACTCCTATCTGTACAGACAGCAGGGGCCATCTACTTTTGCGTGTGGAGGAAGGAGTGTTGCAGTTACACTCCCCCTCATATTCCACCAGCAAAGCTGCCACGTTGCATGTACTATGCTGGCACCTCCATTTGAAATTCCTCATGGCAGAGCAAATTAAAACCTAAAAAGGATCTTAAAAAGACAACTGTCTTCCTGGCTCCATTTTGTATGAGGCAAGGCTTTGTTACAGCTTCCTTGTTAGCATTGATCCAGCTTCAGTTTTTTAGAAGTGTTTTTAGAACTGTATTGAGTCACATTAAATGAGTGTGTGATTCTGGGGAGGATGCTGCCACGACCAATTTCCTTTTAGTCCCTAACCCAGAAAGAGGAGTAGCAGTGAGAGATAGGATGTGAGAAAATTCTGTTTACATGTGTGGGCAGGGAATAGAAGATAAACCTACCCAAAACTGAGTCACAGTAGATAAACAACATATTGAAAACCAAAACTCCTGCTTTAAGCATTGCATAGTTACACAATAATCTAAAATATAAAGGTAGGCAACAAACTTATGACCTATCCACTGAGAACAGAGAACAAAAAATAGGCTTGTAATCCTACCCTTCTTTAACATGCTACTCTGCAGCTATTTTAAAACAAGTTTCTCTGTCTTCAGCATGAGGACTTCTTATCCCCTTATGTCTCATTACTGATGAGATTTTTTTTTTTTGGTGTCATGTCATTCACTCCAGAACAATCAAATCTCCTTTACATTTTCCTAATCGCTTTATGTTCAGGACTACAAGTATACAAACCTCACTGTATGAAGAGTGGAAAGAGAAACAAGCTCTGTACGTTCTTTCCCCAGTCCTAAAAAACAGAGGAGGCACAAAAATTAGATAACTGCCCTTCATCCTCAGTCAACAGTCAAGCATAACCTGCTCTTGAAGTCCATTTTAAGATTTTGGTATACAAGTATCAGGCAAGATATGCTCCTGAAACAACAGGTTTCTGTGTGGTCCAAATGCTCACCTCACTATTACATTGGTTTTCTTGTTCCTTTCCCCAAACCACATAGTGGAGGGTTTGATGCTGATTATGTGCAGGGGAGTTCCATTTTGGCAAGTCAGCCCACAGGGCAGTCTGTTCCCTCGGAAGCAGTCATCATCCTGCCCAATGCAAGATAAAATTAAGTGCAATAGGAACCCTTTTCCCCCACTCAGAAATTAAGCAACATGGTATCTAGGCAGAACAAGTTCTCCTCTCACTTCCAACTCCCCTGAAGCACTCTGTCACACACTGCTTCCTTAGTGCTGCTGGAAAAGCAAATCACAGAGACCAATGCCCCAAAGTGCCATCTCTCCTTCTACCTGAGCTCCTCCAAGTTGGAGCCTCCAGCTTGACAGACATCCTGGAAAAGGAAGGCCACACAGTGCATGGCTGCAGCAGGCATCATCTGAGCTGCTTTTGATAGATACATTTAAATGGATAATACCTGACTGATCTAACCTGCTGCTTCTTTACTTCACTTAATACCATTTTCAGGTTTCAAACACAATTAAACTATTTCCAGAATAGGCTAATATATTTTTCCCTTTTTTCTTTTTCTTTTAAAAGCTTCAACCCACTAACTAAAGTTCTCACTCCTCTTTACATTAAGCCATCACTTCACCAGTGTTTGATAGCACAACAAGCCCAAAATATAGCACCTATAGCCACACTTTCCCAGCAAAGTAAGCAGAGGCTCTGCAGAATGATACACACCCAAGGATGTCGACAGGCATGGATTTGAGTGTGTCGGTCTGTAGTAATATGGCACAGGATTTCTGGCATGTTCCTGAACATATCAGCTTTGTTCATGTGCACCTAGAGAAAGGCAGAGTTTACTCTTCATTAGCTCAGTGTGTTTGCCAGGCTGTAGCTGGAGCATCTGCACAGATGTACTTCTGCTCTCCCCAGATGCCAGCAGGCATTTAAAAAACTACTCCCACTAATAATGTCCAAGCAGAGACGTGTGACCCAAAACTCGGACATCCAGAAAAAGTAGAAAATCTCTCTTATGCTGAGGAGGGAAGAATATCATCAGAAAGTCAGAATATATCTGCTAATTATTAATGTTGTACATGACTTTTATCATTCACAAGATAAAAAGGAGAGAGGTAAACACTGAGCTTGAAAACTGGGAATTAACTTGTCTTTGGAAAGTACAGATGTCATTGCAGTCTACAACTTCCTTGCGAGGGGAAGAGGAGGGGCAGGTACTGATGACTTCTCTGTGGTCACCAGTGACAGGACAGGAGGGAATGGCCTGAAGCTGTGTCAGGGGAGGGTTAGGTTGGATATTAGAAAAAGGTTCTTCACCCAGAGTGTGGGTTGGACACTGGAACAGGCTCCTCAGGGCAGTGGTCAAAGCACCAAGCCTGACAGTCAGAGTTCAACAAGCATTTGGATGATACTCTCAGGCACATAGTGTGACATTTGGGGATGGTCCTGTGTGGGGCTAAGGGCTGAACTCAACGATCCTTGTGGGTCCCTTCCAACTCAGCATATTTTGTGATTCTGTGATTCTGCTCCAGACTGAAATCAAGTAGTTAAGTCATTTTAACCACAACTGCAGCTTCTTAAGGGCAGTTACCGAAAGCAGGCACATCTGTGACACACAGCAGCCCTCTGAACAGCCATTGCCAGCTCGGTCACTGGCCACAATCACTACTGAGGATCTGATCCAAAGCAACAATCATAGAAACATTACCTTGATTCCTAGTTCCTCACTGAGGTTTACGAATAAATACTCATATCCATAAGCAGCTTTGCAGTTCAGCCACACAACATGATAGCGGGACAGCGAGGTCCAGCTTCGCACTAACTCCAAGATCCCATTTAAACATTCCTCCTGAAAAGTGTAGAAAATGTTGTGAATTATCTTTGAAGATACTTCCTATGTGTTGCAATTTGGTAATGCAAAATGGCACTGCCTTGCAAGACTTACCTAAAAAAGGGATGGTTAATTAATTAGCAGTTTTAAGGACCTTTTCCTCTCACAGCTTATTTGGACTTACCCGGCTTGGTATGTGATAAAATTTGGGATCACAAAATGTAGTGTCCAAATACACACTCTGGATATCTTTTACTCTGGAGGAGAGAAATGTAATATCAGAGAATGTTGCATCACAGTACTAAGACACACCACTTCCTCTTTTCAAAAGGAAGCAATTCTACCCCTTTGTTTCAAAGAACAAATCAAAGGGAGTTTGTAACTTGCAACAGCATTGCAATTATATTTAATCCAGAATAAAAAATGAGGAAAAAATTAGTACATTATTCCTGAATTGTCCATGCCATATGATCTTTTATTCTTTCTAAATCCCACAAATAGCTCACCTGGTCCCTGAATGCAAAAGCTCCATTCTGGCTGCTTCTCCTTTTGCAAGCCTGAAATCCCCTGTGTACAGCACAGTGCCATTCTCACCTTCAAACAGAAACCTGCAAAAAGCAATACCTGGGTCAAACTCAGCAACATAAAACATTAAATGCCAGGTGGTGATCTGTTACCTCACTTAGGACAGTTGACATGACTAATGTGGGCTGTAATAGAAATGCTGGACTCAACTTGGTCCTACAGTAATTTCAGAAACAATTCAGACTCAGTATGCCTGGAAAGTAACCTGTGCCTGGCCCAGTCAGAGCTGAAGACAAAAGTCTCACAAAATCAGTGAGGGTGGCCCAGCTGTCTGTTGGAGCCAAAGGCATCTATTAGGTGGCTGTATCTAGAGCTGGGCACCTTCTTTTTAATGTCATACTTAAGAAATGGAGGATTTATTTTCAGTCACAGTTTTGTATGTAATTTTTAAGTATAGTTGAAATCACTCAGGCATGGAGAAAAGTAATCTGCCCCACCAAGGCAACAACTTCCCTCTGGACAGATCCCAGATAGTAATGTGGTTTTCCAACCTTCATCAAAGGTGATGGGCCCTGCCACAATAGTATTTTCTCCAAGTAAGAATTTTAAATTCACTATTCTTCTTCTAGTTGGAAAAAAAAACACAAACCAACAAAACAGCTCTTAATGAGAACTTTACAGGACAAATCTCTCAGCAGAAACATTTAAGGTATTGAAAGCACATACATGACCGAACCTGGACAGTGACCAGCTGGCAGAAGTGTCACCACTACATCTTCTTTCTGGAAGAGATGGGTTAGCATTATTTACAGAGCGTAGCAAGTACTACCAGTAGTTTTATCAGCACAATGAAAGTAACACATTACTCTCCACAGTCTCTTGCAGAATTTAGCATTTAAATCAAGAGAGTCTCTTCACATCACAACAAACACTAAAGAGCAGCGAGCATCCTGTCACATCTGAAGAGAGGACCAAGTGTTGTAAGGTGCTTATAAAGTAAGGTGGATATAAGACAGTTCTACTTCCCTGACTTGTTCTGGTGAGCAAGTAGAGAATCACAGAATGGTTTGGGTTGGAAGGGACCTTTAAATTTCATCCAGTCCAACACCCGTGGGATACACTTTGTGTGGAGATGCTCTACTAGACCTTAACGTTCTGCATTTAAAGTTTGTTAATTAAAATACGCCAGAAGATACAAAGTGAAAAAATCACAAGAGCAATAGGTAAGTTGGAGATCACAAATACCCTGGAAAGGCATTACCAAAAGAATGCTATGATAGTAAGAACAAAGCAGGGTAACAGAATTCATTGGCTGCACACCCAGGAGAGAAGGGTAACATGCATTTTAAAAATAACTTCTCCTCTTGGGATGTTACAGGTAGGATTTCCCATACTCATATAAGCAGCATTACTGGCCATTACTAATATATGAATCTTTTTTTGTGTGTGTAACTTACCTCACCAGATGTTTCATCTACTAAAGAAATCTGAGTTGGAGTTTCAACTTCCAATGCAACCTGTAACAAAATGTTTAATTGGATTTACTGGACGTTGTGTTTCATGTTTATGGCTGGTATTCATTATTTAGATACCTCTAGCACTCACTGTGGTTATTGCTAAGCCTGTAAAATTAAACTCATTTTCCCACAGTCATGAATTTCCATTTCCAGTGGAAAAAAAGTTTCCTAGGAGTTGTCTAAAAATGAATTGGAGATACTTCAACCAAGGTGTGCACGCCTAAAAAAGTTAGAGCATGTTGGACTTCTTACAGCAACAGCTCCTCTTTCTGTGGTTGGATCATATGCCTTATTTTTGGATGACTGCAAAGCCCAAGACATCCCAGTCCTAGAGCACACCAGTGGATTTTAAATTAAGCAAAAGAGAAATTAATTAAGGACAGGAGCAAAAAGACACGAGCAAGGTAAGGAAATGAATGCAGAGATACAAATGATCAGTGTAAAGATGACGGCCATGTAAAGCTGAGGGTGAGAGGAAAGGAAAATATTTTGTGGAGGGAAAAATTATTAAACAGAAATAAACCAATCCCACACAGCAAGCAGCAGAAAAGGAACACCGCTGGAAACACTTAAGCCCTGAAACATTGTATCAACACCAACGTTTAGGCATTTCTGAGGAGCAGAAGCTTCCTCTTTCTGAGAATCACTGCTTGGAAAGCGTTAATTTAAAATTAAACACAAACTCACAATATGATTCTCCCAAAACTTGTATTTCCAGTTAGTCAACAGCAATTCCTTAGTTACTGGTGAGCAGTATAGCTTAACTTTCAAGCTGTGAGGAGACAAAAAACACAGAGAAGAGTGTTTTTTAAAGTAAAGGCGAGGAACAATCTAACGACACATCAGCACCTGGCACCCAGCACATCAAAACCTGTGCTCAGAACCCTCTCTCATGTGAAGAGACCTGCAGAGCAGGAAGCCTGCAGCCTTTTCTTCAGCACAGCAAACCCAAACTCACCTCTGTTTGCCCATGCCTGCACGGGATTTTGTAGACACAAATGAAGGGGTCACATGCAGAGGTTTCTGTTTCTATACCCACACCCCTGGGACAGTCAGCGTTCAGCAGAACACAGAATGCTCCCTAATAATCTTGTGCACAGTGCAGAGGCCTGATGAGCAAAGAGAGATTCTCTGCTTGCATCTGAGGAGATGCAACATTTACTCCAATAAATTAAACAGGCCTACTCCCAAGGCTGCAGACATCCAGTTCTCAGCCTCTCCTCACACATCACACACTCCTGCCCCAGAATGGTGTGGTGATCCTGCTCCAGAACACCTGTCAGGGTGGTTTTTTGGCCAGGGGAGCCCAGGACTGGACTAAATTCTCCTAAAAAAAGTCTTACAAGTGCTGGACAGAGCAGTATAACTGTCTCCCTCAACTTGCTGGCCTCCTTCAACAAGCACAGACAGCAGTATCGGCATGTACTTCCAGGGTGTAACAACAGAGATCATCAAGTTCGCCAAGGCCAAGTGCACCTGAGTTGGGGCAATACCCAGGATTAATACAGGCTGGGGTATGAACAGACCAAGAGCAGCCCTGTGGAGAAGGTTTTGGGGGTACTCAAGGATGAAAAAACGGACATGAGCCAGCAATGTGCACTCACAGCCCAGAAAGTCAACTGCATCCTGGGCTGCATCTCCAACAGGTCGAGGGAGATGATTCTCCTCCTCTGCTCTGCCCCTGTGAGACCTCACCTGGAGTGTTGTGTCCAGGTCTGGATCCCCAGCACAGGCAGGACAGGGACCTGTTGGAGCAGGTGGAGGCCACAAAGGTGGTCCAAAGGCTGGATTGCCTCTCCTATGGAGACAGGCTGAGAGAGTTGGAGTTGTTCAGCATGGAGAGGAGAAGGCCCTGAGGAGCCTTCAGTGCTGCCACCATTCAATACTTAAAGGGGGCTTATATGAATGATGGAGAGGGACGTTTTACAAGAACAGCGAGGAATGACTTCAAATCAAAAACTTTGGAAGATAAAAGGAAAAAAACTTCGCACAGTGAGGTTGGTTATACACTGGCACAGCTTGCCCAGAGGAGCTGTGGTTGCCCCATCCCTGGGAGCGTTCAAGCCCGGGTTGGACGGGGCTTGGAGCACGCCGGTCTAGAGGGAGGGGTCCTTGCTGCGGCTTTAACCCACAGCAGCTCCTCACGCTCTGCCGCGCCCCTGCCGCCTCCCCCTCAGCGCTGCGGGTCCCGTCCCCCCCTCAGCCGCTGCCGTACCTGCCCTCCAGCCTGCGCTTCAGGGCGGGCGCCCGCAGCCCCTTCATGTGATCTGGGGAAAGAGAGTGAGAGGCACGGCGGTCACTGGGATGTATGGGGGGTGTGTGACGCAGCCGGGGCCACTCCCAGCCCCCGGGGCCGCTCACCCTTGTGGCAGTGGGACAGGAAGAAGGCGCGGGCGCGCAGGTTGTGGTGGTCAAAGCGGTCGATGGACAGGGCCGGGTACTCCCGCGTGCGGCCCCCGAACCGGCTCATGGCCGCCGCCTCTGCCGGCTCCGCGCGCTTCCGCCTCCACCTCCGGCCCACAGCCAATCGCGACACGACCCCACCCCCCGCCGGCCTATCAGAGGCGGGCACGGCCCCTTTTAAAGCGGCCATGGCGGGCGGTTGCCTGGCGACCGTTGGCGTCGTGAGGGGGGGCCCGCGGCGGGGCTGGGGCAGCTGCCACCGCGTCTCGGCCACCGCTCCGCCCCGCCTCGCTTGGGAGGAAACCCCCCTGGTTTGCGGCTCTCGAAGCGAGGTGGGCCGTCTTAAGGGCTGGCTGGCTGGCTAGGCGGGTGTGGGTGGGAGCACCGCGGGGTTACGGTCGCAGTGTTGTCACGTCGGGACGAGGCGGCCGCCTGCGCACCTCGGCGCGTACGGGGAGCTATCTTGTAGAGTCTGTGGAAAGAAAGGAAACTTAGGTTAGATATTAGCGAGAAATTTTTTTTTTTAGAAAAGGGAGGTGAGACGTTGGAAGAGGCTTCCCAGAGAAGTTATAGCAGCCCCGTCCCTGGAAAGGTTCAAGGCCAGGTTGGGCGGAGCTTGAAGCAACCTGGTCCAGTGGAAGATGTCCCTGCCCATGGCTGGGGGGTTTGGAACGAGATGATCTTTAAGATGATCCTTCCAGCCCAAACCATTCTAGGATTCTATTCTCTTACTGACTTTTCTGGGCCCCCTACATTTGCTGACTTGTGGTAAGTGATGTAGAAAGCACAGCCATCTCCTCCCACTGCTCTGGTCCAGGGCCTCTCCTGCGTGGGGATGTGGGGCTCCTGCCTGAGCTGAGGATGCTGCAGGACCTGGACCCAAGGTACCTCTACCCTTCAGCTTAAAATTTGCTGGTAAACATGGGGGTGTGCCCTAGGATTACCGAAGCTGGTTAAGATACAGACACCCCTTCTCCCCAGTATCCAGCACCAGGCACACAAGCTGTGACCCACAGCCCTGCTCCATATACTGATGTGGAGCCCCTCACTCATGACAGCCCTGCTCCAGCAGCTCATTTTTCAGGATACATCCTGTTCCTGCTCCAGTGGATGGAAGTTAAAGCCCCCACCTGCTCCAGCAGCTGACATCACAGGCCAGAGGTGCCCTTACCCCCAGTCTGACTCCAGGAGCTGGCACCAGTGTTCACTCACACACAGGTCTCATCAGCAGCTGGCACCTTGTCCTTTATCACACATATATGTGGGATACAGAGTGAGATTATGCAGAGAGATGATTAAGATTTAAGAAGATACAATAGGGTGAGACAGTCTGTGATGATCAGGCATACATTCCTCATAGGTCTGTACACTTCCATGGATTCCCACTCCTCTCCAACTCTGGGTCCCCCTGGTTCACAGTGCTATCAGGGCAAAGCCCAGGCTGGTCTTCCTGGTGCCTGTAGTTTCTTGATAGCCCATCAACTGGTGGTAGTGACAAGGTTTGTTTCTTGTCATGGTCTTTCTTTGTTTTGTCAGGTCCTTGTTTCTTTATATTTTGTTTCTGTTTTCCCTAATTTCCCAATTGACAAGGGGCTCTGGTCAGACAACCTTGACAGAATAAACATTTTCGCACTCCTCTCATGCCCCATCAATTAATGTGACTGACCAGGTCTGGTTCTCATCATCCTCCCTCATTTACTGCTCAGGTTTGGGTCCCCCTATGTTCTTGTTTTATGGCTTCCTCCCTTTCCTGTAATCCCTTACTGCACTGAAAAATGGTCCTTGAGCAGATGCCCTTAAGGAGCCAACACTCTCCTCCCACAAACCCTTGTGCAACTGTTAAAGAAACCACCATATGCCAGCCCAGGCTAGTCAGGATTCCACAGTAATTGTGTTATGATTAAATTAGAAAATGCGTTCCCAAAGCCAAAACAGAGGTATATAAAATCTCACTACTTACCCTAAACGAAGAGTAGGCAAACACTGTCATCTTTGACAAAGTCCCCTTCACTGTTCAACAATTCCCCTTAAATGAAAACTGCTGGTATCATGCTGAATATTTTCTTACCACCCTCTTGTATTCTTTCATTTGCCTTCATCTGTCTGTTGTCTTCTGTCTCTTCCCTGAATTCCTGGCTGGAGTTCAGCTGTCTCCTGCTCTGGTGCAATGAAAACAGCTCTGTGGATGGAACTTGGACACACTGCAATAGACAAAGGGTAAAATTTTTAAATAGCAGCCCAAAAACATCAGGATGGTGCTTTTATTATTTGAAATCACCAAGCTGGAACTTTCAATATATGACCTTTATATCTGTTTTTTGAGCAGGAAAGCCTGTGGACAGGCACCCTGAATTAATGGTGACTCAGGAAGCGCCAGATCTATCTGGATGTCATGAAGAAGCACATTCATCAGGTGAATCCAGCACATCTTGTCAAGAAGTACAAAACAGTAGTAACATGTAAGTTATCACAACACCCTTAAATTCATCATAGTTTAGCATTTATTAAGATCTAATGTTATTGCTAATACTGGCTTTCTAAAGTCAATATTGACTGACAACAGTTCTCATTGAACACTGATGAGTGTATGCAGGGCTTGAAAAAAATTCTGTGATGGCTACAAAAGAGCCCTTTGCAGCACAGGAGGAAAAAAAATTATGTGGAGATGGACATCTCAAGACTACCCTAAAGATTTAGGGTATTAGAATATTAGAATAAGGATATGTGCTTATCCTGTTAATTCATATGTGACACCTCATAACTGGGTGGAAAAACTACGTTTTTATTTTAATAAATGTTTGCTTTCATTTGCAAAATGAGAGAGAGCCTGCCAAAAGACTGCTTGGAGCACTGAACTGCATGAAATAGTTTACTGTTGCCAGAAAAGAGCCCTTGTGCATGTTTTTATTGATTTTTATTAAAGTGTATTCTCTGAGAGATGAAAAGGCCCTTTCTTTGTTTGCTGAGGGCTCCCACACAGTCAGATGACAGAGATACAGAATTCTGCTAGTTTCATATTATGGTAACAATAATTCTTCACGTAATTTCCCTGAAGATTTGTATGCTGTGCTGCAAGATTTTTTTCTGATTTCTGCTTTTCTAACAGACCAGTGGCATTTGTGCATTTGATAAGATTTCAGCATTGAACTTCTCAAGCTCTCAGTTGAAACAGGAACTTGCTAAGTAGGGAAATCTCACTCCGTGCACAGGGTTTGGAGGCAGCATGATACCCACAGGGAGGGAGGCTGTGTTCCTCCTCTCACTGCAAAATCCAGAATCTTTCTCTCATTCCTTGAAGATGCCTTCCTAATTAGGAGGCTGAAGCCTGGGGACACTGCAGAACTGAGAAAGGACTCACCTCTGATCATACCTGCTAGCCATGACAGTGCTATGTGTGTTTTGCTTGCAGATGCAATAAAAGTTCCATTTTAGTAGCAGAATAAGACACATTCAAGCAAATGCAGTAAAATTTAGATATAAGGTAGAAGTCAAATGATTCTTTTTTTTTTTTTAAAATAAAGTTCAGATCCTTCCCTGGTGAGGTTACAGTTTTGCAACTTTTTTATTGCTTTTTTTGTTTCTGTTGTTTTTTTGGTTTTTGGGGGGTTTTTGGGAGAGGTTGTTTGTTTTTTAGGTTGGTTTGATTTGGGGGTTTTTTTCAGTATGAGTTTCATCTTGTCCCAGTTCTGCTCTGTTCAGGTTTAGCAGCTGATTAATCAATTTACTATTTCTCAGCAAACTGAACAAATGGGTTTTATGTGAGGAGGAAGTCAATGGCAGTCAGTGCAGGTTTTGATTGGGCAAGAGGAGAAGAGGGTGAATTTTGGTAGGTTTGGTGCTTTATCTCTTTACCCCGTTTATCTCTCAAGATCTCTTGTCTCTCATCTGCACTGTGGCTGTGAGACTGGCCATGCATTTCCCCTTTCCCTTCCTGAGTGCTTGCTGTTCTTCAGGAACAGCTCAGATCTTCATTCTGTGGCTCTCAGTTTGGTGTCACTGCAGGAAGAAGAAATGAAAAACAGAAAGGGACAGCAACTGCAAAGATGTGAAATATAAAAATTGCTTTGTTTTTTTGTTGAGGTCTTTTTTTGTTTTGGTTTTGGTTTTTTGTTTGTTTGGTTTTTGTTTGTTTTGTTTTGGGTGTTTTTTTGGATGCATCAATTCCCCCCATTAGATTTTAGTAGGTTAAGTCAGGATGTATACTGAGGTATAGATAAGCTGGCTTTGTTTGAGATCAAGTAGTGTATTTAATTTGATTACAACTGCTTTTCACTCCCTTTTTAACTCAGACTTTGAGGTCTGTAATTCCCTTATTTTAAAATTTTAATTTACCCATTTCTGTATATCCCCAACTAAATCACCTGCTTCTGTTTTCTCTATTTAATTTTTAAAAATCTAATTTCAGGAAAAAGTCTGAAGTTCCTGGAGTCATGGCTAAAGCTGACATCAAACCAAAGTCTATGCATCGTGCCAAAATATGGTCAGATGATGTAGAGAACTTATACAGATTCCAGCAAGCTGGATACAGAGATGAGGTGGAATATAAACAAGTAAAACAAGTTGATGTGGTAAGATTTAGGACTTTGCAAAATAGCAACCAAGAGGTTAATACAGCAAACAACACACTTTATTTATCAGAAGTCTGTAACTTATCTTACAAAACAGCAAATATAATATGAAAAATCTACTTTTAAAAGATCTTAAATTTCTCTGCATGTAAGAAAGAGCAAAATGTTCCTAAGAAAGTCACTCCTCATCCAGTTAATCCTCTCACACTATTCACAACACAGCAAAATGTTGGTGTGCATAAGGTACAGTTTATTATTTTGTTGTGGGCTCAGTTACCACTGTAAAGATTGTGGTGTGAATTCCAGTAACTGCAGAAGGAAATCCTGTAATTAGTGTGGTAGAATCTGTGTGTTTATGTCAGGGCACAACCACTGGCAATTAAACCCTGATGAACGTTAAAGAACAC